TCCTAAATCACTCGTACGCACAAYTTAAGAACAAATCTGTGCGTACGAACGGTTCTTGCATGAGGCCCAATGTTTTTAGTGTGTGTGTTTGGAAAAGTTATGATTTGGTAGTTCAGTTTCAAGTCTTAATTGACTTTTGATCCAAAATACTGGTTAAACTGGTTGGCAGCTGATGATAGAGTTGGTTTTAGTGAGTTCTAGGCTCAGAGAAATTGATTGAAGTAACTGTGATGTGATTACCATGAATCAACCCTTTACTAGAAGTCTAGATTGAAGTATTAGCAGTGTTTTGATCTGGTGTCACAAAGATGTGGAAACTGAGTATTTATGATGGGGCCAAGAAAGAGCAGCAGCTGAAACCTGTCTCTGTTTGAAGCACAATGATGAGAAGGAGAAGAAAAGAGCCCAAGAAGAGCCAGACCTCATAATAAGTCAAATAAAACAAAGCTGTGTAGGTTGAGGCAATTTTTTTCCCAGTTTCTACATCGTTATCAAAAGTTGTTACTGGAAAATCTATTCACCACCAGCAAATGAGCTGCAAACTTTCTCATTTTATTSTCTTTATAACAAATTTATTTACCAAGCTTTGGTCATTAAGCTGAAAYTTGGATAATTTTACACAAAATGTATTGTGTAAGCCGCCAGCTCTGAAACAGAACATACGTCAGTGACAATATATAAAGCAAATGGCAGGGAAGGTGAATAATGATTTTCCCATTGCAGTGGCACATGTTGACGAATGGAAAATAGTAGACATCAAGTGAGCAGGCAGATCTTGAAGCTGATGTGCTGCAAGTGGTAGAAATTGGCAAGCGTATGGATGTGAATGACTTTGACAGGGGAGGAAGGGTGATGTCTTGACAGCTGCGWCAGAGCACCTCAGAAATAACAGGTCTATTTGAGGCAACYAGTGAACCAGTGACAGGGTCAGGGGCACCAGCATGATGTATGGTGCTGTAACCAAAAACATTTTGTCTCCGTATAAAGGTACCTTACAAAATACATTCTGAGGTACAACAAACGCACATCAGTTCTGTCTTTTTAGTTACCRTCTTTATTCAAGTATAATACGTAAAATTTAATCCATAAAATTATCCATAAAGTTGGGGGGTAGTATTATACTCGGATGAATATTTTTACTTATATATTTTAACCAAAATGTCGGCTTCATTCGCAAAATGCCTCAGTCCGGAAATGAGACCACGATGTAAAAAGCAGCTGAAGCGAGCTCACCTGTGACACTCCATCATGATTCAGAGTGAGATAGTTCCAGATCCAGGCAGGCAACATGATGTGAAAAAAAGGGGGGAAAGCAGTCCTGCAGCTCG